GTCATTTTATATGGAGTTTTGCTTTTCTTGAGAGCTGCATACAGGCCTTTAATAAAGAAACTCTTTTTTAGATGGGTATACCTGGAACCTGTCTTTGGCGCTGGTACTCTGCGAAAGGAAGAATCGTTATTTCGGCGCACTGACAAGGACTTCCGCTTTGTGATGCGTGAAATTCAAGCTGACCCCCGTGTGATTTCACTTATCAAAATTAACAATATATCAGCCATAGTTAGTTCACTGGAAAAGCAACTTTCGCGTTGTCAAAACAATCTGATGACCTACATTATGGTAAGTTAATATAATTTTCCATTTAAATTCAATCCCTCTTATGTGCAGCTTTACTGCGATGCAGGATAAACGAAATTCTTTCCCACGCTTCTATTTTCTTGGAGACGACGATTTGTTGGAGATACTGGGACAAGCAACAAAAGATGTTGAAGTTATACAAAAACACATCAAAAAGCTCTTTCCTGGCTGTCACAGTCTGGGCATAGTTAAATCGTCGAGTGAAGAACCAACTGCGCACACCATACAATCGGTACAGAGCGCTGAAGGAGATGTTCTGCAGTTGCGACAAATTGTGCTTATGAAAGGACCTATAGAGGTTTGTGAACAAACAACATATTTACATCTGAGCAAGACAGTCAATCAAACTACTTACTTGCTTTCAAAAGAATTTACACTCACATTAGCCATTCACTTTGTTGGCCTGTCTCTTTTCATGTTTCATTCCATCAGGATTGGCTCAATCACTTAGTTAGCTCCATACAGAGTACACTTAAGGATGCGATATTTGAATGCTGCTCAGCCACAGGCGCAGACAAATTTTCCGAGTCGACGCTACGACAATACCCCATCCAAGTGTTGAGCACCACCCGTGGCATTCAATTCACCACACAAACAGAGAAGGCCATACAGTCCATGTCACTGCAAAAGCTGCATCAGGCGTTGAACACAGAAATAACACACTTCTCCAATATGAAAAACCAAACAAACGACACACTGCTGCAGATTAAGCTGCGCACTCTGTTATTTGATTTGGTGCACTATGCGTCGGTAGTGGAGGAGTTGCAGCAGCACAATGTGATGCACGTTACCGATTGGCATTGGTTGTGTCAGTTAAAGTTCTATTTGGCCGGCGCTGATGGGCGTTTAGTTTTCGTGCGTATGGTTTACGCTGAGTTCGAATATTCCTATGAGTTTCTCGGCAATCCCAACAAGCTGGTGCATACAAAGTTGACGCATAAATGTTATCTCATCCTCACCCAAGCAATGCATATGGGATTGGGTGGAAATCCATTTGGACCGGCTGGAACTGGAAAAACGGAGTGTGTGAAAGCGTTAGGGGGAATGCTGGGCCGTTTAGTGTTGGTTTTCAACTGTGATGAGGTGAGTTGAGGATGACAGGCGGGAATTAGTATGTAAATCTTTAGCTTTGTATCGAGTAAGAAAGTTGTTAATGCACTTCATTCCATCCGTGGTAATAACAAAAATGCATCTGCATGCAAATGTATGTATCTCCTTGCAGAATGTAGACACTGAGTCGATGAGCTTAATTTTAACTGGACTGGCGCGCTGCGGCGCTTGGGGTTGCTTTGATGAATTCAATCGACTACATGAAGCGACCCTGTCGGCTATTTCTATGCTAATACAGCCAATACAGGCGGCTCTAAAGGATAAATCGGATGAGGTGCAAATTGGTGAGCAAAATGTAAGAAGCTTTGAAGTTCTATAAGTGTAAACGTATGTACCCGTATTACATATGTACTTATGTATAAACAGTACACTCGTATTTAAGGCGGACCTCCATAGCATGCGTATACGTATGTATGCGTGCATTTGACAGAAAAATTGAATATGTATACAAATTTGTATCGCAGCACCTACATATTAACACTCTCTCACTTAATCCATTCGAAATTTAAAACAAAACGCCCTTGGAAGTAATAGGCTATATTAAAAGCCTTCCCATGTAGGGCGGGGGCCACAGACAATAGATCACTTTAGAGGTCGCGGTGCATATGTCCCATAATAATAATAGATACATATCAAGGGCTTATATTCAAT